TCCTGTCTTGTTGTGCGTATGCGTTAGTGCACCTAACCTTTGTAACATCTACTGCCATTGTAAACGACCAAGACACATTTTTCCCTGCAAGAAAAAAGATTGTCATTGTCCTACATGTATTATTGTGCGTGTGGGTTGGGGGTTGATCGTATTATGGTTTGTGGCTGTCTCTAGGTGGGTCTAATGTTTTTGACGTGAGGGGTGAAGAAACGATGTGATGTTGGTTTGTCTTTGTGTTGGTGTTTGTTTGTGTATCCGTCTTTTTTGGTCCTTCTGTTTGTTTATATGTCTGTCACATTTTTGTCTCCCTCTCTCTCTCTCTCTCTTCTCTCTCTCTCTCTGTGTGTGTGTGTCTGTTTGTGTGTGTCTGTCTGTATGCATGTTTGTATGTGTCTCTGTATGTCTGTCTCTCTCTCTCTCTCTCTCTCTCTCTCTGTCCTGTCTAGCCACGTGTGGGTACTGTTAACACAACTCTTAGCAACTACTGACCTAGTGACCTAGTGACCTAGTTAGGAGGGGGAGAACAAAACAAAAACAAAGAAAAAATCAAGACACAAAGCTCCCAAAACAAAACATAATACAAGTAATAATATTGTAATAATGATAAAATAAGGATCTGCCTTCTACGCGTCAGGAGACGATCATTAATTGTGTCACAAAACAGTGGAATCAGGTGCTCATCGACTTTTGGGCATAGGCCTACTGTAAAGTTATTGGTATCGCCTTAAAGCTCGTTCTTTTGTCTTGCTTTTGATCGAAAAAATCTCCAACTGTCTTTTTAGAAAAGATATTTTCGTTCTATCGAAGGAGGTTTTGATGGCTTAGCGTCAGAGCTGTAAAATTAGCAAGAAGACTGACAGCAAAGTTTAGAGACTTCCGAAGCTCGACTGTCCATGGTAACTGCAGATTTACATTTTTTGGGGTGCATTTAATCAAAATGTTCATTAAAATCCACAGATAAATGTGTTTTTAATCATCCCTTTGACCATTTGTTTTAGGATTTTGTCCATGGGGTTGGACCGCTGTTATAACTGAACTGAGAAAATGCCTATTGAATACCTGTGAAGGGGGTGTAAAAAGTGCTGGGGAAGAAAACAATTGATAGAAATTGTCCGGCAGGTGGTTTCTGTAAAGAATTTCATTATTTCGACGAACGCCTGGCTTCACCACGATGCCACAAATACATTTTTATGTAATTTGTAAGAGAGATTTGTTTATGTAAATGTAAGAGAAGGTTTATTTATATTTATGTAGCCTACACGGAGAAGGTTTATTGACGTGCAGGGAGAAGGTTTATTTATATTTATGTACATGGAGAAGGTTTATTTTTTATGTGCAAGTTTTTTTTGTATATTTATATTTACAGGGGAAAAGTTTATTTATATATTTATGCACAGGAAGAAGGTTTATTATGTGCAGGGAGAAGGTTTATTGACGTTCAGGGTGAAGGTTTATTTATATTTATGTACAGCAGAAGGTTTATTTATATCTATGCACAGGTGGAAGGTTTATCTATACACACAGTAGGATAATTTATCTTTATGTACAAGGAGAAAGTTTATTTATGAACAGAGAGAAGGTTCATTTATACGCAAAGAGAACTTTTATTTGTGTACAGAAAAAAGATCTATTTATTCATAGAAATAATATTTGTTTATGTACCGAGAGAAGATTTATTAATTTACATAGAGAGTGCTTTATCTAATAGATACTGGGAGATTTATTTATAATGTAAGAGAGGGGCTTTGTTTATGCACTAGTGTATGTATCGAGAGAAGATTTATAGAGAGCTTCTGTCTTGAATGTACAGAGAGGTTTCTAATTTTAATGTACTGTAATTTTTTTAAGTTAATTATTTTTGCTTAAAAAGAAAGAAGGTTACGCACCACTAAAATGTTTCAGTTGTTGCCATTGAGTTTGTTCATCAGTACTTCCAAGTGGCTGTCTGGGTCCCACTCT